AATTTTTATTTTTGCGCTTGGTTAACTTTCGGGTGCGGCCTTTAAAGTTCCTAGGGCGACATTAAAAGAGTATTTAGTGAAAAGTGGTGCTTCTAGAACTTTGATCTTGCCTTGCGTCAAGAAGTGGTAGATCAGCTTCAACCTGGCGGAAGATAAGACATATGGACGGATTTGAAAGGTAAGAACTCTTGTGGAATCGATTTCATTTTCTTCTAGAAAGGTCACTGTAAAAACTAATTTAACTAATATTAATAAAAGAAATTCATTACAGCATTCAACCATACAAGAAATAAGTTCTTGCGAAATGATATTTTTCTTCATTTACAGTAGGTCCACATCTTTGAAGATAAGGATGATTGGTTACAAATAGTAGTAGAAGTAGAAGCCAAAGCTCGGATTTTTTTCGTCACGAAGTGTCATTTTTGCGCGATGTCGGAGTGTTAAGTTTGAAGTGCACGATCTTTTAAGTTTCGGGTGAGCGGTGTTAAGTTCCGAGTGCGCGGTTAAAACACGTAGTGAAAAGTAGTGGTGCCAGAACTTTGATCTTGTGATGTGTCAAGAAATGGCAGGTGAACTTCAACCGAGTGGACGATAAGGTATCTGGGCAGGATTTAAAGGGTAAGAACCATTTGTAGAATATTTTTTATTTTTAGATGTTTAATAAGTGACATTTTTTTTAGTAAGGATATTGCAATAATAATTTAAACGACATTGAGATAAATAAAAAAATACATAACATTCAAAGATACGAAAAATTAAATTTTGTTAAATGATATTTTTCTTTATTTACAGTAGGTCCGTTAATGAAGAAGAGGGAATTCGCTCCAAGTGGTAGCAGAAGTAGAAGCCAAGAAGGTAGGATTTTTTTTAAATAAATTTTTATTTTTGCGCTATGTTAACTTTCGGGTGCGGCCTTTTAAGTTCCTAGTGCGACATTAAAAGACTGTTTAGTGAAAAGTGGTGGTTCTAGAACTTCGATCTTGTCTTGCGTTAAGAAGTGGTAGATCAGCTTCAATCTGGAGGATGATAAAACATATGGACGTATTTAAAAGGTAAGAACTCTTGTGGAATCGATTTCACTTTCTTCTAGAAAAGTCACTGTAAAAATTAATTTAACTAATTTTAATAAAAGAAATTCATTACAGCATTCAAACATTCAGGAAATAAGTTCTTGCGAAATTATATTTTTCTTCATTTACAGTAGGTCCATATCTTTGAAGATGAGTGTATTGGTTACAAATAGTAGTAGAAGTAGAAGCCAAAGGTAGGATTTTTTTCTTCACGAAGTGTCATTTTTGCGCGATGTCGAAGTGTTAAGTTCCAAGTGCACGATCTTAAGTTTCGGGTGAGCGGTGTTAAGTTCCGAGTGCGCGGTTAAAACACGTAGTGAAAAGCAGTGGTGCTAGGACTTTTATCTTGTGATGTGTCAAGAAATGGCTACTCAATTTCAACTAGATAGACGATAAGGAATCTGGGCAGGATTTAAAGGGTAAGAACCATTTGTAGAATATTTTATATTTTTAGATATTTAATAAGTGACATTTTTTTTGGTAAGGGTATTGCAATAATAATTTAAACGACATTGAGATGAATAAATGAAGATATAACATTCAAAGATACGAAAAATTATATTTTGTTAAATGATATTTTTCTTTATTTACAGTAGGTCCGTTAATGAAGAAGAGGGAATTCGCTCCAAGTGGTAGCAGAAGTAGAAGCCAAAAAGGTAGGATTTTTTTAAAATAAATTTTTATTTTTGCGCTATGTTAACTTTCGGGTGCGGCTTTTTAAGTTCCTAGTGCGACATTAAAAGACTGTTTAGTGAAAAGTGGTGCTTCTAGACCTTCGATCTTGCCTTGCGTTAAGAACTGGTAGATCAGCTTCAATCTGGCGGATGATCAGACATGGACGGATTTAAAAGGTAAGAACTCTTGTGGAATCGATTTCATTTTCTTCTAGAAAGGTCACTGTAAAAATTAATTTAAATAATTTTAATAAAAGAAATTAATTACAGCATTCAACCATACAAGAAATAAGTTCTTGCGAGATGATATTTTTCTTCATTTACAGTAGGTCCATATCTTTGAAGATGAGTGGATTGGTTACAAATAGTAGAAGTAGAAGCCAAAGGTAGGATTTTTTTTCTTAACGTAGTGTCATTTTTGCGCGATGTCGGAGTGTTAAGTTTTAAGTGCACAATCTTAAGTTTCGGATGAGCGGTGTTAAGTTCCGAGTGCGCGGTTAAAACACGTAGTTAAAAGTAGTGGTGCTAGAACTTTGATCTTGTGTTGTGTCAAAAAATTGCAGCTTAACTTCAACCGAGGTGACGATAAGGCATCTGGGCAGGATTTAAAGGGTAAGAACCATTTGTAGAATATTTTTTATTTTTATATGTTTAAAAAGTGACATTTTTTTAAATAAGGGTATTGCAATAATATTAATTTAAACGAAATTGAAATAAATAAAAAAAGATATAACATTCAGAGATACGAAAAATTATATTTTGTTAAATGATATTTTTCTTTATTTACAGTAGGTCGGTTAATGAAGAAGAGGGAATTCGCTCCAAGTGGTAGCAGAAGTAGAAGCCAAAAAGGTAGGATTTTTTTTTAAATAAATTTTTATTTTTGCGCTATGTTAACTTTCGGGTGCGGCCTTTTAAGTTCCTCGTGCGACATTAAAAGACTGTTTAGTGAAAAGTGGTGCTTCTAGAACTCCGATGTTGCCTTGCGTTAAGAAGTGGTAGATCAGCTTCAATCTGGCGGATGATAAAACATATGGACGGATTTAAAAGGTAAGAACTCTTGTGGAATCGATTTCATTTTCTTCTAGAAAGGTCACTGTAAAAATTAATTTATCAAATTTTAATAAAAGAAATTCATTACAGCATTCAACCATACAAGAAATAAGTTCTTGCGAAATGATATTTTTCTTCATTTACAGTAGGTCCATATCTTTGAAGATGAGTGGATTGGTTACAAATAGTAGTAGAAGTAGAAGCCAAAGGTAGGATTTTTTTTCTTCACGAAGTGTCATTTTTGCGCGATGTCGAAGTGTTAAGTTCCAAGTGCACGATCTTAAGTTTCGGGTGAGCGGTGTTAAGTTCCGAGTGCGCGGTTAAAACACGTAGTGAAAAGTAGTGGTGCTAGAACTTTGATCTTGTGATGTGTGTCAAGATATGGCAGCTTAACTTCAACTGAGTAGACGATAAGGCATCTGGGCAGGATTTAAAGGGTAAGAACCATTTGTAGAATATTTTTCATTTTTAGATGTTTAATAAGTGACATTTTTTTAGTAAAGATATTGCAATAATAATTTAGATAAATAAAAAAAAATGTGTAACATTGAACGATACGAAAAATGAAATTTTGCTAATAGATATTTTTCTTTATTTACAGTAGGTCCGTTGACTGAAGAAGAGGGGATTCGCTTCAAATGGTAGCAGAAGTAGAAGCCAAGAAGGTAGGATTTTTTTTCTTAAAGAATTGTTATTTCTGGACGATATTAATTTCCGGGCGCGGAGTGTTAAGTTCCTAGTGTGCGATTAAAATTCTTAGTGAAAAGTGATGCTTCAAGAAATGGCAGCTAGAACTGGAAGAACAATAAGACACATGGACTGAATTTCAAAGGTAAGGACCATTTGTGGAATCGATTTTACCTTTATTAAATGACATTTTTTTTCAAATTTTAAATAAAAAAAATTTCATTACAGCATTCGACCATGGAAAAAGTAAACTTTTACGAAATGATATTTTGTTTATTTACATTAGGTCCGTATATTTAAGGATGAAGGGATTCGGTACAAGTAGTAGCAGAAGTAGAAGCCAAAAATTTAGGATTTGTTTAATGAAGTGTCATTTTTACACGATGCCAATTGTGAATGCGGAGTATTAAGTTCCGAATGCACTGTACAGACGATAACGCATCTGGACCTGATTTAAATGGTAAGAACCATTTGTAAAATTGTTGTTATCTTAGGTTTTTAAGTGCTACTTTTTTTCTAGTAAAGCTATTGCAATAATGAATTAAACAAAAATTAATAAAAAAAAAACATAACATTCATTGATACGAAAAATAATCTTGCTAAATGACATATTTCTTTATTTACAGTAAGTCAGTATCAGTGAAGATGAAGGGATTCGGTAGAAAAAGTAGTAGAAATAGAAGCCAAAAAGGTAGTATTTTTTTCTTTTTGAAATGGCAGGCAAGATAAAGCATACAGTTGGCAAAGAATTCATGGGGGCCACTTGTTGTGTTTAGCCAAAAGGCGACACCTACGCCCCACCAAGTGCAGTCAAAATAATAATACATTGTTACGATGTTCGCGACGTGGCCTCGATTTTAATCCATACTTCCCTTCTAGATATTCCGCGATCGAGGTTTTTCTGGGGTACCCATCGCGTTTTCCGCTTCCAGGCTTTCTTTTAGCGAATGCCGCCCGTATGTATGATTAACTTTATTCTTTCGAAGTAAATTAGAAGTACATAATTGGCAAACAAACAAACGACAAAAACAATAACAGTGAAACAATTAACGAAAAAAGTACACCGTTTTATGGCCAAAAATTTTTAATTGAAATCACAAATTTCATCAACATACGTGCAAAATATTATCATTCTTTTCAATTAAAAACCACCTTTCTCTTAGTGGTAGATATTTCCTAAAAAATTAAAAGCTTAACTGAGCACAGAGAATGGTTTGCCCACATTTAGACAAAATCATCTCAAAATCTTTTGCATTAATCAACAATAACTAAAACATTCACTCAAAAATTGACAGTTTAACAAAAAATTTCATTTAATATTCTGTTCGTGTTCCAAAATATGTACACAGAATCATTTACTTCTGAAACTCACAGCAGCTGTAACACTGGTTGCATATCTTGTATTGAAAACTTGTTTGGCTATTGACCAATTTTGTTTTAGGCAACCACCAATACACAACTCTGCCATGTGACTGCGACCCATTCCCTTATTTCCGTCGTCGAACGAAAACAGTAGGCGCGTGTCACTTTCTCCCCATGTCATTTCTCTCCGTGACACGTCACTTCCTCCCCCGAGCTCGCGCCGCCTCCACCCTCGCTTTCCAGATCCGAATCTTTTTGAATGAATTGCCGGAAGTACCGTTAGCCCTCGGCCGCCGCCCCTCCCCGCGCCTCTGGCGGGCGCCGCAGCCGCAGCGTACGCGTTTAGTTCATTCGGTTGCCGTGTCAGTGGAGCAGCCGCTTCTGGGCGCACGTAGTGAGCGTGGTACTGGGAGGAAGTGTCAGTGTAGTTCGCTCGCAAGCAAGCAGAAGGAGATGCCCACCGGGAAGCCGTTCGAGAGACTGCCGGGGACAGTCCGGCCGAAGCACTACGTGCTGTCGCTGCTGCCCGACCTGAAGGCGCTCGTCTTCGACGGGGACGTCGCCGTGCAGATTGAGGTAGGTCCACCATATGCCGACGGCGCGGCGGCGGCGCTGGATCGATAGCGGCCAAGAGCGGCGCCGCCGGGTTTGAGGTTAGGTCGGAGGCATTGGCGGTGCGCGAAAAAGGTCGCTGGGGAACAGGGGGCGAGGTATTAAGTTTTGTGGTTTGGAGGGTTGTAGTAGGAGGGTTTTAAATGGAACGATAACACGTGGTTTGATTACTTATCGATTTGTAAACTTTCAAATTACACAATAAAGTCGTGATAACGAGCACTAGCACTAATGGGTTTTTAGTTTTAGAACGATATTTACGGAAAATTAACTTCATGTTTTGTAACGGTTTGCAAGTGGTGGAGTACAAATGTGCAGGGTTGTCGTTTCCGTTGGTCTGTATGTTGAAAATTTTTTAAAAGAGAAATCAGTCTCAAAATTGTTTTTTACGTTGTTAAAGGACTTAAAAAAAATCTAAATTAAAGTGGAACCAAAAAAATTTGAAATTTCAGCGGTTTGTCTGTCGATAATTTTATTAAATAGATAATCTCCGAAACAGCTGGATTGATTAACTAGAAATGTTGACCCTATTTTGTAATTATCGTAAGAAGGTTAAACGATAACCAAAACTTATCTGCCTATCCTCTCCAAAGAATTGCTGACGTCATCTCAAAACTTACTTGATTGGCATTTCATTTGAATGGTTAAAGAAACCTTAGCAAGGCCATAAACATTGCTTTCTACACCTACACCATATGAAAAAAAAAAATAAATTGCTAAAACAGATTGAATGCTAACTAAAATTTGTTACCTATCGTCTTCAAAAAATTCATGACGTTATGTTAAGATTCGCTTGAAATTTATACTAAAACAATTTCCGTCACCTGTTCGTTATTTATGTGATATAATTTTATCGTTTTTAAAATCCACTTCATGAAAATATTGATACGGCACTTGAAATGATTATAGAACATTGAAAGTTGGTATCATTTTCAAAAATTACCAAATAAATAGTTAAAAAAAAAATGTGTTTGATATAGGGAGGGTGTGTTGTTTGATCTTTGATAATATATTTTAATTTTATCGATGGTTATAGTAAAAGCTTGGTTACATTTATTCATATGCAGATAAAAAAAACAGAAATAACGATATTTGAAAATTGTAAAGTTTTAGATTTTTATGAACATTTTGTATATTAAAATTTGATTTAATGTCGGGAAGAAGCTAATGCGAAATATGTAAAAATATGTACATATACAGGGCGTTTCATAAAAAAAAGTCGTGTGTTACTTTGTATAGTTGAAAATAATTTTGATTTATAGTCTCCAAAGACCTGTACAACTTTAGTCTTTGACTTTTTCCTGTTTCTAACAATAATGAATGAGATATCAAGGAGCGCGCGCTTAGTGATTCACCTTGTATATTTGCAATATATTAAATTAAGCTTTTTCCTTCATGTTAAACACAAAAACAAAAAATGAATAGGTTGTCCCAGAAAATGACGTCATTTAAAAACTATATAATTTTTGCAAAATATTTGATTTCTTAAATTTCAGTTGTATAAGTTACAAACTGTGTACCAAATAGCTTTATTTTAAACTTTTTTTTGTGAATAAAAATAAAATACATTTCGTTGAAATATTAGTAAACATTACATGTTTTTCAAAAATTTGTTTTTTATGAAATACCGGGTGACGATTGAAGCAAATTTTTGTGTTGGCAATTCTGAATTATTGGCAACCATGCTAGTATGTCAGTTCATAGTTGTCAATTTTGACGTTAGCACGTTTTAGAAATTTTTATAAGCACTCTGTATATTAAAATTTTATTTAACTGATACTACAATAAAGCGCGTCTGTCGAAAAACTGAAAAATCAAAATATTGGGAATCGAACAATCGAAAAATCAGAATATCGATAAATTGAGAAATTAAAAAAGTTTAAAAATCTAAAAATTGAAATGTGAAAAGTCGACATACCAAAAGATTTAGGAAACGAAAACTTGAAAAATCGAGAAAAAGAAAAACCGAGACGTCAAGAAATCGAAACATGAAAAAATAGGAAAAACTTTAAAATAAAATATGTATTACAAAATTAGAAAAATTGAAAAATAGATATCGAAGAACTAAAAGTTAAAAAATTGATAATCAAAACATCGAAAACTTGAAGAATGGTGAAATAGAAAAATCGAGAAATCGAAACATCAATAATTCGAAAAATTGAAGAATGGAAAAACTGAAAGATCGAGAAACCGAAAAATTAAAATCTGAAACATCGAGAAATCGAAACATCAAAATATCGAGAAATAGAAAAGTCGAAAAATTGAGGAAGCGAAATAGACGAAATCGAAAATTCGAACAATCAAAAAATCGACCCATTGAAATGTCGGTAAGCTGAGAAATCGAAAAATTGACGAATCAAAAAATTTAAAAACTGAAAAACTGAAAATTCAAAAATTTGAAGTCGAAAAATTGAGAAACCGAAAAATCTAAAAGCGAGAAGTTGAAATACCGAGAAATCGAAGCATAAAAAAATCTAAAATTTAAAAATTCGGAAAAGCGAAAAATAGAAATATCCAAGGACTAAAAATCTAAAAATCAAAATCGAACGATTAAAATATTGAAAAATTGAACAATTGGGAGATTGAAACAACAAAAAATCGTAAAATTGAAAAATTCCAAAACTCGAAAAATTCAAAAATTCAAAAATCCAAAATTGAAATGTCGAAAAAACGAAACATCAAAAGATCTACAAATCCAAATAAGACAAAAACCGAAAATTTTGAATAAAAAAAATCATAAATGGAAAAATCGAACGTTCAAAAATCGAAAAATTGGAACGTCAAAAAATTGAAAAATAAAAAATTTTAAATTGAAAAACCGAAAAATCTGTGACCGAGAAGTCGAAAAATCGAGAAATCTAAAATTTAAAAACTCGGAAAATTGAGAATTACAATATCCAAGAACTGAAAAAGCGAAAAATCGAGAAATTGAAACATCAATAAATCGGAAAATTGAAAAATTTATAATTTAAAAATCGAAAATTTAAGAAATCGAAAAGTTGAATAATTGAAGAATTGAAATACATATGAAAAATTCCGAAACAGAGAGAAAAATCCCAAAAATGAAACATCGAAAAATTGAAAAATACCAAAACTAAAACAACGAAAAATTGAAAAATTAAAAACCTGAAAACATTGAAGTGTCGAGAAATAGAAAGCTAAAAAAAATCTATTAATTGAGAAATTGAAAAATTGAAAATTTAAAAACGTTAAAAGTTGAAAAATTGTAGAGCCGAAGACTTGAAAAATCGTAAAACTCAAACATCGGTAAATTGAGAAGTTGGAAAATAAAAAATCGAGGAATCGAAAAATTGAAAAATCAAAAAATTTAAAATTGAAAAATTCGGAAAAGCGAAAAAATAGAAATGTCCAAGAACTAAAAATCTAAAAATCAAAATTGAACAATTAAAATATCGAAAAATTGAACAATTGATGAATTGAAACAACAAACAATCGAAAAATTCCAAAATTCGAAAAATTCAAAAATCCAAAATTGAAATGTCGAAAAATCGGAATATATCGGGAAATCGAAACATCAAAAGATCGAGAAATCGAAGTCGAAAAATAGATAAATTGAGAAATCGAAATAAGACAAAATCGAAATATCGAAAAATTGGAACCTCAAAATTGAAAAATAAAAAATTTTAAATTTAAAAACCGAAAAATCTTTACCCGAGAAGTCGAAAATTCGAAAGATCGAGAAATCGAAACGTCAAGAAACTAAAAAATCTAAAATTTTAAAACTCGGAAAATTGAGAATTAAAATATCCAAGAACTGAAAAAGCGAAAAATCGAGAAATTGAAACATCAATAAATCGGAAAATTGACAAATTTATAATTTAAAAATCGAAAATTTAAGAAATCGAAAAGTTGAATAATGAAGAATTGAAATACATATGAAAAATTCCGAAACAGAGATAAATCCCAAAAATGAAACATTGAAAAATTGAAAAATACCAAAACTAAAACAACGAAAAATTGAAAAATTAAAAACCTGAAAACATTGAAATGTCGAGAAATCGAGAAATAGGAAACTAAAAAAAATCTATTTATTGAGAAATTCAAAAATTGAAAATTTAAAAACGTTAAATACTGAAATATCGGTAAATTGGGAAAATAAAAAATCGAGAAATCGAAAATTTGAAGAATCGAGAAACTGAAGAATCAAAAAATCCGAAAACTGAAATAACGAAAAATTGAAAATCAAGAAATTGAAAAATCGAAAAATTAAGAAATCGGAAAGCCGAAAAAAAAATTGAAAAATTCAGAAATCGAAATTGTTACACATATTTACAATATCGAATTTTGGTTGAGACGATGATTTGGTGTCATAAATTTCGATTTGACAGTCAGGTATACCATCATAAAATTTTGAATATGTTGCCAACCTGACAAATAAATCGCAAACATTAATCGGTTCTTTTACACAACGTTGTCATAATGTAGTTTGTTTTTTGTTTGCTTCAAAAAACTGATAACGTAATCTGGAAATATTTTTAAGTAAATCTCAATTTGAACGTGGGCCATAATGTATCGGGTGTTCAATTGAAAAAGCCATCAAGTTGGCCTTCATTTTTTGTAAATTAACCTAAAATTTGACAACGCTACATTTACTGCTGTCAAAAAAGCAACGCCAACTGGATGACAAAACGGTATGAATACAATTTTACGGTAGCTTTACACTAAATTAATGTATTTATTGTCCTAAAAAATTAAATAAGTAAATATAAATTTAAAAATTCAACCCGATGTACCATGTATTTTAGTATTTTTTTTAGATTTACTTATACATGCTCAAAAAAAACAAATGTTTGAACCTATTTCCTTATCGATTATTTCAGAAACGGTTCATCTTAGTATGTGGCGGTACATTTTTTTAATGTGTGAACCATGGACCGTATGTAGATGAAGTTATCCATGTAATAAGCATAATGTCATTGACATTTGTAATTTGAAGTCGGAAG